AGGTACCTGAATATTCAACGTGTAGCACACAGTAACCGAGTCCCCATTAACCTCCCCCCACTCCCCAATAAAGGAAACAGAAGAAAACAAACCAAATACAGAAAAAACACATGCATCTCCCAGTAATTGTGCAGTTGTGTTTCACACTCTCAGCTACTTTGTGTGCTTTGCCCAGTTGCCTTTGATACGCCTCCCAAGATGCAGGGTGATGTTTTATTTTGGGCAAAACTGGCAGCTACCTTTGGCTGCTCTTTTGTGAGGAACTGTATGAGGACAGTCACAAAGTTTATTTTTACATCTCACCACAGGACAAAATCTACATTTTCCATCAAGCATTGAACACTTTGACTTAACAGGTTGTGAAAAATCTCTTGGGCCAGGTAGACATTTCCTCTGAATTTAAGACCTTGCTCCTGGAAACCTAATAATTCATTAGGCCACAATTAGCCATGAGTATAATATACAAAATATAATAATACAAAAATAAAAGACAAGTTGCTAATGATGTTTTCAATGAAGCTAATACCAAGCATTGAATATACAATTGGCTCCATCCTGTGGTTGACTCTTTACAGGCATAGTTTTTAACTCATTCTTCATTTCACCTGTGGCTGCTTTTGCTCCACATGGTCCTTCACATAGCTGGGTAACAGTTATCTCCCAGGATCCCAACACTGGCGGCTGGGCCTCTGCCCCAGGGGCGTGGGAATAAATGCCATGTCTTCTCAGACCAGCATATCCCTATCAGTGATGGGCTCATGTCTGACCCCATAGCATGCTCTCCTATTAAAACCTCTGGCTTCGGGCCTCCCTGGTGATGCAAGGGGTTAAGCACAGTACTACTATGAAGCTATCTGCATCCTCTGCAGCAAGAGTTCAATCCCTGGCTGGCCAGCACACTGACCCACATGGTGCAGCAGACCTCTCCTTGTCTTGCCCGCTGCGTCCCTCAGCAGTGTATTTCAGTAGTCCGCCTGTTCTGCTCCCCACTCTGTCTCTGGTGAATCCTCTCACCCCCCTCACCTCTGGCCTGTATCCCAGTTCTTATATACATAAATAAATAAATCTTAAAAAAAAAAAGTAAAAGCCCTAGCTTCATCTTTCATCAATGGAAAGAAACAGCAGGCACTGCAGGGGTTGATATGCTTCAACAAACCCAGAGTGCTCTGGTGCTGGGAGATCCTCATTATCCTTTCAAGAGAATGAACTTCATGGAGCTGCCTAAACCTAGAACTTAAGTGAGTTCATGAAGGTTCTGAGGTCTAAACTCAGGTTTCCTTGACTTGGGACCCTGGCCCCCTGTTCCAGAGAATGTATGCCAGCCTAGCCATCCTAAAGCCATCCCATCAGCTCTTTGAGAGTCAGATGGAGGGACCGGTCTTTTAGGAAAATGTTCCCATTTTCCTAAAGAAAGCCCTGGTGTGACTTCCTGACTCCTGCAATATGCCAGGGAGCACCCTCAAATCTTGGATCTGTCATTTGCATTTTATCTTTGGTATAACCAGAGATGTGCATTTACTGCTACTGTTTTGTCCTGAATGTCACCCCCAGGACCTGGTTAGTGTGTACCTCACTGTCCTTGGACTGGATTTCATTGTGACTCCATTGGCTGCTGGAGTCCTATGGGTAGCAGTCTTTTTCTTTTTTAAGATTTTGTTTATTTTTGCGTAGGAGAATTGGGGTGCAGGCCAGAGGTGTGGAGGGTGAGAGGATTCACCAGAGACAGAGTGGGGAGCAGAATAGTCAGACTGACTGAAACACACTGCTGAGGGGGGCAGCAGGAGAGGCAGAAGAGGTCTGCTGCGCCTTGTGGGTCAGTTCTTGGGCCTGAACTCAGGTCATCAAGGTTGTCCTTCATAGTGGTAGGGCTGAGACTTAACCCCTAGGCCACCAGGAGGCCTGGGGTAGTGATCTTTCTTATCTACTGGAAAACATGTCTCTTGATTGGATTTTGATAGGATGTTCATGTCACTGGATTTAAGAAAAATCTACTTAATTAAGAAGTCTTTTACCTTGTAATTTTACTAGGTCCCAGATCAAGGAAGCAAGCTGTTGCATATTGAAAAGTAGATGAGTTCTGGTGTCATATAGGTTTCAGGGATGTCTTAGTTCTTCTACTCAGTAGACTTTGGGCCAATTACCTTGTATCTCAGTAAGTAAAGTTCTGGAACTCGGTCTGTGGTCACTTAATCATTGTTAATTGGTTTTCCTTATGACAGATAGGAGTATTATGAATGTGGATGGATTTCCCAGACTTAATTGGGTCGTAGAACTCTATTTAGATTTTTGGGCTGGGGAGTTTACCCACTTTCCTCTAGTGTAATCGCTCCGTGGCTGATTGAAGGCCCTTTGTGTCACACCACTCCCACCCTCAGTGCATTTCACCTTCACTAATCTAAGTAGGAGAAGCACATTATACATCATTGTCGCTTTCCACCAAAATTTCAAACTAAAAAATCTATTTTAAACTATATGTTTGCTCATCTGAAAAATCTGGATTATAAACTGTTAGAAATCAGGGACAATTAAACAACTATTTTCATTTGCAGGGAATTCAGAATATAATTTTCTTTGAGTTTGGAAAGGATGTGCCAATGAATACCAAGTAAGGCATGGCACGTAGCATGTAACTGGTAAACATGAAGACTGCTGTAGCCAGACTGGTAGGTGCCTTGTACATTGTCACACTTTGGCCCCCCAGCTGAAGGCCTAACTTGAACTTACAGCATTCTATCATTGGGGGTTAGGTATATCTGAACCTGTTTTTAAGAGGGACCTATGGATGCTATTGGGGTGCTCTTCATCCTGGAAAAAGCAGGTGTCAGTCTAAGGATATCCAGGTTGTCCTGTAGACAACCTCGATATAAAACGAGTTGCCTGACTGTGGGTCCTCACTCGCGCGCTTTAAAGGGACTTATGAATACTCACTGCAGGCACACATAAAAGGTTAATTAAAGGTTTATTTACAGGGGAAGGGGAAGTGAGGAAATGTACAACTCGGAGAAAAGAGGGAAATAAAGTCTAAATGCGTCCTACCTGTTCCGCCGACCTGGAATCCCAATGGCACGCTGAGAGCTGGCCGCGAGCCAAGAGCCGTGAAGCCAAGAGAGCCCCTAAGGCCCACCTGTCAGGTTTTTATACCAAACCTGGCTGCTTAACCCCACCCTCAGGTCCCAGCAACCCTCCCTTGGGTGATGATGGGATTTGTCTTTCCCAGTGTCCTGATGGCTTTGGTCTGGAGTGGGGGTGGAGTCCACGAAGCCTGCATGGGATTAACTCAGGACGTCCTTTCCCCCTAACAGCTGGGAAGGAGGAGTCTTTCTGGGTATTGTGTGGGGTTGGTTTTCTTGGAGTTTCATTCTCTAGGCTGGGCAGGGTCCAGGGAGTGGACAGGGAGGAGGTGTGGGATGGTGGTAGGTGAAAGGGACTGGCCAGCCTGTCCTAATTGCCTTGTGCTCCAGAGAACTTGTTTCTCTGGCATTTGTCAGAGAACAAGTCGCAAACCCTGGGAAACCTCCTTGTCCTTCCTGCGCTTGGAAGCTATTCAGGAGCCAGACTGGTGATTGGTAGATGATCTATGAAAGCCCAGAATTCTGCAAACAAACAATTTGCTGATATTTTCCAATGATCTTGTCTGGTCCTCTGATGTTATTTCACAGCTTGCATTTTCTGAAAATCCTTGGGAGTCAAAAAAAAAAAAAAAGCATCTACTCATAAAATCTTCCCACGTTGTCCTGGACATTGGGCTTGGGGAAAGGGATGAGGAGGAGGAGCTTCAATTCATTCTTTGTATTTACTGCTCAGTGGACTTCATCCCTGGGGCTCTAATTCAGGACCTTGAATGGTTAGATACTTTCCCATGCTTCGCAGTTTTCAGGATTTACAAAGAATTTCTTCATCTGCTCTTTCTGTGTCCTGATATCTCACAAACAACACAAGATATACTCTTCTCATCCCCAAAGGCTTCCCTTTTGCTTATTTATTTTTTAAAAGATTTTATTTTTGTGTAGAACTGGGGTATAGGCCAGAGGTTGGGGGTGAGAGGATTCACCAGAGACAGAACGGGGAGCAGAACAGGTGGATCTACTGAAATACACTGCTGAGGGGAGCAGTGGGTGAGACAGGAGAGGTCTGCTGGGCCATGTGGGTCAGCTCCCTGCTCGGGGATCGAACTCAGGCCATAATGGTGATAGTGCTGAGACTTAACCCCTCAGCCACCAAGGAGGCCCCAGCCTTCCCTTTTTAAAGGGGGGAGCATAGTTGTCTAATACTAGGGATTGAGCAACTCTTTTCTTTTGCTCTGCTGTCTGTGTCTTGCTGGGGCTAGACCAGAGTCATATCAGAGGATGGCTGCTGAGACCCTGGCTCTGAGCATGTGTCCAGTTGAGTAAGCATCATTGCCCTTTCTTGGTTGGCCCTCATTCTGATGGTGGAGATGTTGGAACGTTGCAAGGTGGTCGTGGCTGCCCTCCTGGCATCTTGCATTTCCTCTTTCTTTCTCCAGCTCTGCCGCCTGAGGACCTGTTGTTCAAATCCTGTTGCCACTTTCCATCACAGCCACCACCCCTGGCTACTTCTACCCTAGTTTTCTTCTAGGCATGTTCCTTCTTTGCTTTTTGTCTTTCATTTGCTGACTTCAGTGTCTCTCATCTCTTGGGTAAAGGAGTCTCCTGTGTCACCACCACCAGCCCATCAGAATTGTCTTCCTTCTTTGTTATCTCAGTGGCTGGCAGGCCAGGTACATCAAGGATCAGTTACGCATCCATGTGTTCACCAGCTCAGGGACTGGACCCGCTGATTCTGAGCGGGGAACTATGCAGCACTGCTGCTGGAGGGCACAGAATCCGTGTCTTGCTCCAAAGGAAACTGTCCCTTGGTGCTGTGTTCAGAGTCAGGCACAAAGCCAGGGTACTTTCCAGAGGCCTGAGGGCAGAGGTCACCCCTGGCATCCTATTGTCTCTCAGCCTCTCTTCATGGTTTTCATTGCATTGCGTTTGCAGAACTCTCTTGCAACAGCTGCAGAAGCTGCAGACTTTGGTGATGGGCAAGGTTTCTCGCACCTGCAAGCTGGCTGGCACACAGACAGGCACCTGCCTCATGGTGAGTTTCCTGACGACACAGCACTCAACTGCCCTGGTCCAGTCTCACTCCCATTCGCCAAGTTCAAGTGCTGAGGGTTTGGAGGAACCAGGCAGCTCACTCCATGGCTGTTGCTCTGCCGCAGTGCAGTGGCTGAGCTGTGGCTGCGGTCTGATGGTGCCCTCTGTCTCCTGGCCCTCCCAGGTGTTCCTGGTCTAAAAGTTGCTCTGTGGGTCTTGGAATCGACAGCATCCCATGTTCTCTCCTCGCTGCAGGTGGTCGTGTTATGCTTTGCCGTTGCATTTGGCAGCTGCCTGCAGGGCTACGGGCCCTATCCTTCCGCCACCAAGATGGCGCTGCCCAGCCAGCACTCCATGCAGGAGCCCTACACAGCCTCTGTGGGTAAGTGGCACTCAGTGCCGTGCAAGTTTCTTGTTTCGTTTCTCCAGAGCTTTCTAAAACTTGACTCTCTGAAAAGAGACTTCTATTTAAAGAGTGGTAAAAGTGTAATCTCTCCACTGAATGCAGGGAAGAGGGGTGTGGTGCCCAGGCTGCGGCATCTCCCTACACTCCACCCCTTGCTCTGGCCTGGGGTGTTGCTGACATTCTCCAGGGCTTGAGACCACGGTTTGGAAACTTCTGTTCTAGACTCGTCCCTGGCAAATTCTAATGTCTCCTTTTTGATTTCTGATAAGGGGGATGGATGTGACTTGGGGGGTGGGGGTGGAGAAAGTTAAGTTTCTCATAACATTTTAAGGGAACACCCGTGTTTTTCCTTCTATTCAGTGGAACTGTTTATCACTATAGTAGATGAAAGAAAAGAATCGGTCTGGCTTATAAATCATTAGATCCAAGATTTAGAGAATTTGGAGACTAGGGTTTTCTGACCTAGATCAATGATCCCATTTAAGTATGTAGGGAGTACGCAGGTGGTTTGGGGGGCTCACCGTATATGCACTAATATGCATACATACTAGCAAGAGCACATATGGAGTTAGGAGGTACTAGATTTAGGGTTGGCCTAATTTTGCAGGTCTGAAAGGCCTGTGTTCTTCACCTAGCTGGCGTACCTGCCAGGGAAATGACAGAAATGCTAGCATTCCAACCAGATAATTCCAGTAGTCTCTTGGGAAATTTTTTTCCTTAAGGTAATGTATCTCTAAATTAAATGGAAACCAGTGGGAGCATAACTTCTGTGCCTTGGAAAACAGCTCCGGAGCCATCCCCCTCTGCAGCGCTCTTGTAAAACAAAAGAAGCCGTCTCCATCCTTTGATTTATGGCTCTGGCTTTGTGTCTTTAGTTTCTACATGAAAATGCAGTTTTTCTGCCCTTGTACCTTCTCTCCAGGCAAGACCACCACAGTGGGGACACTTCCTATTTTAGCCTGGTCCAGCTAGCTCCAAACATTGGACTCTCCGTGAATTGTCCCTTCAGATGGTTATGGGAGGGCAAGGAGAGGAGTTTTATTTTCGAGGCAGTGGAGTTAGCAGTCTGTGTCCTGTTGATTTGCTTGCCTATTGTCCTCCCAGCATTGTGTAATTGGTATAATTCTTCAATGCACAAAACTGAAACTCTAAAGCCTTTATAAAGTAAACTAACTATAGTTGGCACCCTCCATCCTGGGCAACACGAACCCTGAAATTGTCATTTGACCCCCCCCAGACCCGCACAGTGAGTGAGAGGATGTGATGTACCCTGGTAACCCCCCTCTAACCCTAGAACTGTGCTCTGTCCTCAGTGAGATCCAGGAACCTGCTGATCTATGAGGAACATTCGCCTCTGGAGGAGCCGTCCAGCCCGGCCTCGGCCGGGGAGCTTGGGCGGTGGGACAGAGGCGCCTCTCTGCTCAGGGCCTCAGGGCTGGAGCCCCTGCCGGATGTGGATCTTCCCCATTTCATTATCTCGAACGAGACCACCCTGGAGAAATCCGTGCTCTTAGAGCTGCAGCAACACTTGTGAGTCAAATGGTGACAGATTCAGCTCCCTTAAGACACTGACGATGGGTTCTGCGTCAGCAACCTGGACCATGGGGTATAGACTCTCCCAGAGGCCTGGTCCAGCCCCTGTGCCCAGGACCTGGGAGTATAGATCCTACTGCTTGCCGGTAGCTGCCCTTAGCAAGATGGGGGAGGGACCTAGTGTAAGCTCCGCCCGTGTCTGCTATGTTTTGGGGACTTGGCCTGACGGGCACCAAGAAGGGGGCTTGAATCCCTTCCCCACTCTCTTCACCCTCCCCTCGAAGCCACAGGAGCAAACTCACAGCCCAAGATCAGCAGTGGACTAGCTGTGCTAATGCCACCCCAAGCACCTCTCCATCTCTGGGTGCACGTGTGTTATGCTACGTAGACTTCTGTGATTTATATGTAAAAGGTGTGTGTTAATATATGTTTCTATTGAGAGGCACTACTGGAAGCAGTGAACATGTGCGCATTTCCATACTGAAAATAACATGTTTGGGCCCAGTTCCCCCTGAATTGTTTCTTTTAGGTAGTGATGGGGAAAGTCCTTTCATAAAGACCAAGGCTTGTGTAACTGACAGTGTTGTTGCTGTGCTCGGGGAGGTGTCTGGAGGTGTCCAGAGAGCACAGGAGGGTCTGTACACACTCCTGGTCACACCTGGTGTCTCTGGTCTGGCTGAACGCCCCCTCCGTGCCTCTAGAAACGAAGCTATTCTAATGAAGTGAGAGAAATTCCCCTTCATGCTGCAGGGAAGATTCATAATTATATATACTTTTATGTGTTTATGTCACACATGCATATTTAACATTTACCAGTGGTTACTGTTTTAGGCACTATGCAAATAGGATATACAAGTTCTTTTAAACACTTTAAGAGGTTAAGCATTATTGTTATTCCCATTCTAGAGAATCTTAAAGCTGCCCTAGGAGGAGTGAAGGCTCAGCTCCTTGAGGACTTGGCTCATGAGCTGAGTCATCTCCCCTCATTGCTCAGCTATTCAAAGCCCCTTTGAAATCTCACTTGTTCTGGGACCATCTCCCCTTTTTGAAAGCCCTTGTAGCCCTCACCAGGTTGCCTAGCAACAGCTCTATAACAGTTAATAACATTTATTTTCTGTTATATATTTATTGTTATTTCAAGTTAGTGTTTTTTTTTTTTTTTAAACATTGTTTATCTGGTTATTGACTAGACCAGGGACAACCTTTATCCTTTATTTTCTTCTTCCCAAGGTCTGGCACAGTGCACAGTAAATGCAGTCATTTAAAACAATGTGTAACAACTCAGTAAGGAACCTCCGTGCTCACCCTCTGGATTCTTTTTTTTTTTTTTTTTAAGATTTATTTATTCATACAAGAACTGGGGTACAGGTCAGAGGTGCGGGAGGGTGAGAGAATTCATCAGAGAGAGCAGGGAGCAGAACAGGCAGGTGGACGGAGGACACTGCTGAGGGGAGCAGCAGGCGAGGCAGGAGAGGTCTGCCGCATCATGTGGGTTTCTCCCTGGCCAGCCGGGAATCGAACCCACGCTGCAGAGGCTGCAGAGAGCTTCACAATGCAGTGTTCAACCTGCTGCACTACCAAGGAGGCTCTCACCCTCTGGATTCTGAGGAAGGGAGGGGGGTAGGCTGGTAGTGGAGAGCTGGAACAGAAGATTGCTGCTAGGAGGAAAAGCCCCCCAGAACGGGCTGGTGCCAGCCTGCAAAGTCGCCATCATGACGTGATGGCCTCACGCTACCAGAGCGTGCAGATCCTCGTGAGTAATCCGTGACTGAGACGTCTCTTTCCTTTTGATGCCTTCACAGGGTCAGCACCAAACTGGAAGGCAACGAAACGCTGAAAGTTGTAGAACTCGACAGAAGAGTGAACGCCACCTTCTGAGGAGGCCGTCCCCACCCTTGCTCTTTCTTGTTACCGTATCTTTACGTCCCCAACTACCTTTGTTGTAGCTTTTTCTTTTTGCCACCCAATCTTGACAAAGACACGGGCAAGTCATGGGCAAGATCCGGACGTGGCTTTAATGGAGGGACAGCCTGGGATTTCCAGAGGTGGTGAGAACACCTTCCCCTGGGCCCCGCGCCCCTCTCTGTAGAAGGGACCCCAGCATCTCTCCTCCCTTTCTCTTACTGCTCTAGGAGATTATTTTAGGGTCTGGGGTGGGCAAGCAGGCTTGTTTCCACCAACAATGCCAAAAAAGTACTGCCTGATTCCCACCACCGCTTCTGTGACCACCGCTTTGAAGAAGACAAGAACACTCACTCATTCGAGACTCCAGACTCTAGCCACGAAAGGGCCCGGATGCCCGTAGGGCCCTGGCAAAGCACACTGACTGATGGACGTCCTGCCCTCCCCTCGCCTGGGTCTCCGTGTCGCCCCCATCAGCTCTGGACCTGCCAGGGCATCCTGGGAGCACCGTGCCGCCGCGCCCCATCCGAGCCCTCGCTGGTTGTCCTCCCGGTGCCGAGGGAGGCTCCTCCGTCACATTCTCAGGCCGCAAGTGCAATGCCTGAAGGAATCAGGCTTCTCTACTCCAGGCGAACCTGCCCCATCTCGATGCTTGTAGGATTTCTCCGTTACCGGTGTCCCCACACGCCCATAGTTCTGCCTTCCTGCTTCTCCTCCCCGTTTGTAAATAGTATTTATTAGCTTGCTGAGACTTCCCACCAGCAACCACACTGAAGAGATTCAACACCTCCTCAAGCCAGCAAAGCCTCTCCTCGGCCTTTGGAGCAGGGAGGGCATCCTGGGCTCTGGGGTCTCCGTATTTGTTTCTTTTCTTCTTTTGTTACTGGGGGTCTGTGATTAGAGTCGGGAAATCTCCCAGAGCAGGTTTCCCCCTGTAGAGGGGACTCGAAGGAAGCTGGACAAAGCCTTGCTCTGGCCTGTGGCTCTGTGGCCCGGGGCTCCTCCTGTCCTGTGTCCAGAGCAGAGAAGGGCTCCTGGCCCTGGCCCTGGCTCTCTGGACAGCCTTGCTGACGTGTCTCTCCACACCTGGTCCTGACCCCTCCTCACACACTGCGCGACCCTCCTCTTCTGCTTACACGTGGGGGAGGGGGATGGACCTGAGGCCCATTCCTGGGGCCGGAGAAGGTGGCATTTGTCTATCTGGTCTTACCTTTCCTAGTCAGGTTTGGCTACTTTGCAGCTCACCCAAAGAAATACCACCTCACCCCCAACCTCCTTTAATTTTTTTTAATGATTAAAAGTAATATTTGTAGTTTAAAAAAATCTTTCTTCTTTCATACAAATAAGAAATGGAAATTGCCTTTTTATTGTATAACATAGAAGATGCCTCTTAAGTGTTTTTCCCTGACTTGTAAAAGGTTTTGTGTAGGAAATGTGCTTACATATTGTATTTTGTTGTTAGTGGTGGCTGAAAAGCCTCTTGCTTTAACTACTCTCCCTCCCTCTCTTTCTCTCTCTCTCTCTCTTTCTCTCTCTCACTCACACACACACACACACACACTCACACATACACACATACACACAACCCTGTCATTGGACCCTGTCCTGTGGCGAGATAGCAGGATCTCGTCCACACCTGGGCCTTCCATTCCATGCCAGAAACAGGATTTGGTGCCATCTACATTAATCTCATGAGCAAATCCCAGCCTTGTCAGCCTAGATACTTTGTGGGAGTCACCGTGATTCCTTTCTCCCGACTGTGGAAAGTTCCAGGCAGGAAGATGGCCAAGTTCATCTTCCCGTGGTATGTGCAGCCGGGTTGGTATTGGTGGCCCTGCTGTCTGCACGGATCCTGGTCCCTTACCTCAGCCAGAGAAGACTGAGTTTGTCCGAGCTCTGTGTTATGGGGCCTTCCTAGCATGTCCCCCCAAATCTGCTCCCTTCTCTCCTTCCCTTCTGCTCTAGCTGCTTCTGGGCCTGCTGGTATGGCTGGTATGTGGTCTCTGTGGACCATGGCTCACCCCATCCCTCCCTTTAAAATAGCATGTGATTATCAGTCATAGGCAGCCGGAGGCAGAAGGGGGCCTGAGAAGGTAAAAAGATGGGGTGAGCTGGAATAATATTTGTGTGATGAGGGTAGGTTCGTATTTAAGGACATGTGTGAGAATGGACTCAGCAGCCACCCACCGCAGTGGGGCAGATCAGGCTCTGAAGGCCCTGACGCTGCAGAGTGGGCACTGCCCTTCTAGGCGGGGAGGAGGAGAGAGCAGGCAGCAGGTGCCCAGCCCCTGTCCTCACTGCCTGGAAACTACTCCCCCTACCCCGCGCCCCCTGCTCTCATCACTCAGCAGACCCCCACACGGCAGACTTTGCTCTCTGAGAAGCTGTTCTCCCAGACCTCTGTCTCCGGAGGTGCGGCCACCAGCCTGAGAGCTCACGTGGCTGTTTTAGGGCCTCCAAGTACCCATGTGATGCTGTTTGAGAAGAAACCTCCACCTTCTGCTGCTTACTTAGGGGGTAGACAAGGGGACTCAATGGTTATCCCTTGAGGGGGATGAGAAGGAGCCCAGAAGACATAGAAGGGTTCGTGACATCCTCCACAGGCTTGGCTAACAACCCATGCCCACGTCCTTGCTCTGGGATTCACCCCAGAACAGGTGCATTTGTCTCCCCAAAGGGCAGCCCCTAGAACAGCCCCTCAAATCTGGTTAGCCCTGAAGTCTGATAGTGGCAGCCGAGGGCTTCCAAACACAAGACTGAGCGTGACCCTAAAGAATAAACCCGTCCGTCATAAATACGTGGGTAGCGAGTTTCCACCTTGTAAAGAGGTTCCGCTCGCCCCTTTGATGGCCGGGCGCAGAAGATGCCCTTCCAGGCTTCAGAGAACTGGCGCTTGTTCCCCGGATGAGACCTGAGTCACCCAGGCCTCCAGCGTGGCTCTTTTCACTCTCGACTGTGCACTGAGGGACAGAGCCTGTAAATGAAAGGCCTCGGTGCCAGTTTTAGGAAAGAATTCCTGCGAAGTGTTAGGACCCTGCAGCCTGGCTCACAGGAAGAGCGTTACATAAAATCCTGGCAGCTGAACTGGGCTGCTCCTTTCCAGCAGGGAGCAGGGGTGAGGTTTGACACCAGTGCAGGCAAAATTAGGTAACCTTTTTATTTAATATAAATGATTTTGATCTGGAGGCCTAACTTGTAGCTTGCGGGCAGCTTTTAGCTCAACATATTTACAAACCAACTATAAATATCACAGTTGGTTTTTTTTTTCCTTCTTCTTTCTCTGTTTAGCCCGAATGCCAGAGAAGGCGATGACTCTCATGTGCCCAGAGAGTAGGCGTGTTGATTGATTCTTCTTTATTCTGGCGGTGAGTCAGTGTCCGGAATTTTTGTCACAAGTGTTTTATTAAAAATTTTCAGCACTCCGTGGCCACCTCCTTCCATGTCCTCACACCAAGCCAAGCCGTAAAGACAGAACCGGTTGACCCTCCCAGCAAGCTCTGCTGGACATGTGTCGCCCAAGCATAACATGGAAGTGGAGACATCCCTCTCCCTAGTAAGAAATGGACCCTCGCGTGCTGGCCTTGTTGACACGGGCAGATTAGAGATGAAGAAGGCTTTCAGCACCCCCTTATCTGTTTTGAGTCACACGTTGGGTGAAGCCCACCTTTGAGGGGACTTTATTAAAGCCCCAGCGCTCTAGCTTGTGAGGCTGGCAGGGCCTGTGAACCATTAGCAGGGAAGACCCTAGCAAGACTCGTGTTATTTGAATGCTTTTCAGCTGGGACAATTAGTAGATGTGATTGAATGAGTCCCTCTGGGAGGGCAGATTCCAGCTTTTCCATTCTGTCCATCAATCCTAGGACTTTGCAGTTTTGCATGAGGCTGTAGGCAATGTAGAGGAATCAGAGGGACTGAGGAAATGTCATCGATCAATAGTTATTCAAGACACAATACTGTCTCTCCCCCCCCCCAACACACACACAGACACACAAACACATGCCTCCCATGTCTTACACACTCATTTGTGCCTTAAATGTGTCATATATGAATCCAGGGTGACCGAGGAATCCCATGTCCCTGGGAGATTTTCTTTACACCTTTGTAATACTAGACTGAAGTGGGTGAGGGACAAAGAACTTTTCCTAACAGACACAAAAAATGGCCTCAAAGCACATCCTGATCAAATTTGCACATCAGGAGAAAACAAACAGGGTCACACGTGCATTAGGAAAACCCCATCTTGAGGGGGCACAGCCACATCGATGAGTGACCCTGCAGGTGGCAGGTGCTCTGAGTTCTCACAGCATAGCATTTTTGAGGTGTCCAGGACCTCGGCCCCTTTGAGCATGAATTCTCTGTGCCTCTGTGGACAGTGGGTCATCACTTAACACAGGCAAAGTCCAGGTGTTTTATTTTTTGGGGGGGAGGGGCAACATAAAATTCAGGAAACCTTGTTTTTTTTTCAATCTTGGTTCTAGAACGAAGGGAAAGAATAGTTGTTGAACACTTCTAAGGTGCTGGCTGCAAAGCTATGTAAGTTTTTGGTCTTAGGGATAGAGAAAACAAGGGTAGTTACTAGGAGACAGATAAACAGCTAATGATGGGGGTGAGGCAACAATTTGTGGGTTTGGTTGAACAGATGCCTCTTGGTGACAAGCTGTCAACATTTAAGTTTCCTTGGCAGGAAATGCAGCCCCTGCCCTGCCCCGGCCCCACCATGCAATGCTCGTGTCTTCTCCTCACGCTGGATTTGTGTCCCACGTGTTCCTCTCAGGTCTTGTTCCTGCAGTCTTGCAAATTCCAACTAGCAGTCTTTGCTTCCTGGAAAAGAAAACCCTGGGCTTTAGTTCTAATCCTCTGCCCTGTCCTGTTCCCCAGCTGGGTGGCAGCATAAATAACTTGCACCACAGGCCCATGGCCTCCACGGCTTAAAAAAAAAAATCTCCCTTTCAGGTAAAATGCTTTGAGTCTGTGGAAAACACCAGCACTCTGACACATTGTGAGTGACTCTTTTTAAATAATGCTGAGACCCTGGACTCTAATACCCCATGAGCTTTACTGTCTGTGGGGACAGGCTGGGCTTTCTGGGTTTTGGAACAGGTTGTATAGACTAGCAGCGTTTAAATCTAGAGACATCACGAGTCTATTATCTTGTGGTATTGTGATGGGTCGTTCTTTTTTTCCTTTTTTTTTTAATGGCTTTATATTCTTTGTCATAGCTAAGTAAATACCAAAAAAAGAAATGCTTTGTAGAATACTTGTACTTAGTTTGGGGGGGGGAATGAAATCGTTATGCTTTTGTATTTCCATTTCTTGCAAATAAAAATATTTTTTCTTAAATAGTAAAAGGTTGTCCAGTCTTTAAAATTCTGGAGATCAGGCTTGAAAGCCTTTGGCTTTGCCGATGAGCATGGATTTGCATATGTGGGCCTAACCATTCTTCCCTGATTATATTATCTAGTCAAACTGCAAGAAGAGTCTCAAGGCATCCATTTGTATGTTATCTTGAACTGAATCCAAATCTCAGCTGGAGGAATATGGAGAAATGTAGTTGTTTTTCAGACACAGGAAGAAAAACAGGCTCCTCCAGGGATCGGTGCAGTTCCTTGTCTCTTATAAGTATTTCCTAACTACATTTCAGAAGCCCGTGGATTCGAATTTGCTGTCCCCTCATTGGGATGCTGCAGTGATGGCTCGGACTTGAGCCAGAAGAGCCCTTCTTCTGAGCAATTTGTTGTTCAGGACGCCTCACTCAGACTCCTGCTCCAGAAATCCTAATGAAATGGTTGATAAAGGCCGATACATTCAAGCAGCGCGATCCTCACTCCCCTGCAATCTCCGCGTTCAAATTTAATTTTCTCCACTCAGAGAGAATGGGGCTTCATTTAGCCTCAGAAAGAATACCCAGGATGTTAGAGGCCAAGGCCACCGACTGTGTGAAGAGCATGTCCTGCGTGTGCTTGAGGGTGCTGCCTCTCTCCTCTTAGTACCTTGACCTTCTGTTCTGCACACGGGGCCTTTCCCTGTGGGTCCTTTGAGCCAGGAATCCGCCATCTCTGTTCTTAAGGGAGTCTCTTCTGGAAGGCTTCTCCTCGGCACGCTGGTGTTGGTGCAGTCACATGTGGAGAACATTCTGTATTACTCGTGCCTCTATAGTGTACATTTCCAATGCTTTTGTTATAGGACAGGGAGAGGGGCAGCCCAAACCCCGCAAACCTGCCTATTCTAAATGGGTTCTGCCATCCGCCTCATCAACACAAAACATAGGAGACTTTAATGGGAAGGAACTGTAATACAACTAGGAAACAATACAGGAAAGGCAAAGAGTCTAGTTTCTAAATGAAGCACCCAAAGTTATACATGCCCTCGTGGGTAAAAGTCCATCCAAATGGGATTGGCCCAGAGCAAGGCCCCAAAGCCTGCCGCAAGTCTAAAGCGTCTTCCAGTGGGGACCCACAGAAAAGGGTCAGAAACAACCAGACAAGCCCGGAAGGAAAAGAGCAAAATCAACATCAAGATAAAAGCTGCCATGGTCACCTCCCCACGGGTCTCACCCACATCTGTGTCACCCCGTCCACGACCAAAAGACAAGCGCAGTTTCTTCACGTGTCTCTAGGCTCCATGCGCCTCCTCCAGGTCTCCTGGCTCCATCCTGCTTCCTTCCTCAGTCTCTTCTGCAGCTTCTCCTCTCCCTGCTCAGCTCCACCCTCCCTTGGGTGGGGCAGGGAACCTCCCCCTTTCCTGGGGACCCCCCTGTTACACTTTGACATCTGGATCCTTGCTGACTCAGGAAGGACTGTCCCTCCCCAAGTAGAAAATCACTAGAAGCAGGAAAGGACTTGCCTGCAAACATATTGCCTATGGAAACCAGCCAATCCAGAGCCCACGCCTAAGTCCCTCCTTCATGTGCTCTCCCAGGGGTCACCATTCCCCTGCCCCAACTACCCCAGGGCTGGGTACACACATCTATACCTCATACCCCCAGAGTCTACTGAAATTATTCAGATTCGTCACAACTAACCCTGCCTATCTTGCTTCATAGTTCTTTCCTGTAGAAACCACAGTAAAGGCTATTGTCTATTTTCGCTCACCCCCTCTGCCTCCTGACTGGCCCTAGCACTTCCCCTTGTGGTGTGGCTCGCTCGCTCCCTCGGCTTGAGAACTGTGAGTAACAAGCCATCTTTTCAAGGGCATTGTCTCGACCTGTTGGCCTCACCAGCTCTGAATAATATTAAAACCTACACTTTAAAACACTTTCCTTAGGCATTGAAATGTCAGCGCAGAGGCTGATCTCAGACTAGGTTTCATGGAGGGGCTCCCTATGATGAAGAGAATACGGATTATTTGGGGAGGGCTTATTTCACACTGGCTGTCATTTTAGCACCAGAGGAGAAAAACGAGGCCTTTGGAGGTGGGATGAGGGGGGTGCTGAGGGGGGCGGGGCGTGCTGGGGTTTTTTCATGAGAATAAAGGTAAATCCAAAAGCCGGTGTCTAAAGTCAATCCTGTGCTCAGCTCCTAGGTAAATCTTCCTCATATGGCTAACGATGAGAGCCGCAGAAGCAAGGAAACGGGGAGACAGTGGGATTACGGGTTACACCCATAGTTACAACGTCAACTTGCTGGCTGAGACCTAGTATGTACCAGGTGATTCTCATGTATTAGCTGTGCTCTTAATTATTTCCTAACAACACTTTAAGAAGGCTATATAGGGCCTCCCCGGTGGTGCAGCGGTTGAGCGCTGGGTTGCGAAGCTGCCCGTGGCCTCTGTGGCGCCAGTTCGATCCCCAGCTGCTCCCCGGCCACCGGAGGAGGGTCCCACATGGCACGCAGACCTCTCCTGCCACCCGCTGCTCCCCTCAGCAGTGTGCTTCGGTCCTTCTGCCTGCTCTGCTCCCCGCTCTGGCTCTGGTGAATTCTCTCACCCTCCCGCGCTTCTGACTGTACCCAGTGCTTGTATAAACAAAAAAACAAATAAATAAATCATAAATAAAAAAATAAAAATACATGCCTCTTTAAAAAAAAAAAAAAGAAGGCTATATAATTGTCCCCTTGTGCAGTTGAAGAAACGGGTTCAAAAAGAGTTAAGACACTTCCTCAAGGTCATACTGCAGATTAGCTGCCCGGGAGAGGTTTGAGCCTGGTCTTCCATGATTCTAGTCTTGGAACTACACTAGGCTGTTTTTCAAGCCTGGAGACTTTCTCTTGTTAAAACACAAGCGTTACCTAGATTTGAAGTTGCAAACTTCAGCTCCTGCACAAACGTTTCTGGTTTAGTTCCATGATGTTTTGAAATCATTGGTTAACCTTTCAACACTGGAAGGTTCTCAAAATTCCCGATTTCCATCTTTTCTTGAAAGATGAGAAGACCTGGCAGCTTTGGGAGCTGAGTGGTGGTAGCCCCTAAGTGGACAGGTCATCCCCCATACCTAGGCAGGCTCAGTCACTCATGTCACCTCTTCTCACGGCGTTCCGTAGGAATCCTTATGACCTGTTCCTTCTCCCATCTGAACTGGTGACCTCTGCACTCAAGGAGACTGACTTTCTGTGGGTCATGAACACTGGGAAAAAGGGAGATGTTCTGTATTGGTGTTAGGACTAGGAGGGCAGGAGTGGTCGGCTTCATGCCGAGGGATAAGAAATGAGAGACCAGAGTAAGGGGGCAGCTGGGCTGGGAGCGGCGGAGAAACCACCCTTCTTCGCACCACAGACACACGCACAAATTGCAATCTGGGGACTGTTTTTAGTCCCAGAGATAAACCTGCATTAATCTCAAAGTTTATAATTTAAAAAAGGTTTATAACAACAAATCCTCTTGGGGCCTCCCTGGTGGAGAAAGGGGTTAAGTCACAGCACCATGAAGCTGTCCTCAGCCTCTGCAGCACGAGTTAGATCCCCGGCCAGGAAGCTACCCACATGGCACAGCAGACCTCTCCTGTCTCCCCGCTGCTCCCCTCAGCAGTGTATTTCACTTAGTCCGCCTGTTCTGCTCCCCACTCTGTCTCTGGTGACTCCTGAGACCCCACACTTCCGGCCTATACCCCACAAAAAACAGCAAGTGCAGTTTCCCAATGGCTGCATGGCTTTGTGTGCTTGGGCTGGTTCAAAGAAAAAAGTCTCACTCCCCCAATGTAAATATAAAACTGAATATTTAGACCCCACAAGGGCAGAAAAGCTGCCTTTAATCCTTAAAATGTGACTTTGCATGGCTTAGTTATCATTTCAATGTTGTCAATGATAACAGTTTTTTAAATCATGATTTGAGATAGTTTACATTGTAAGTGAATGTAGAGAAGAAAATAAGATTGAAGTGGTATTGCAATGCTGCCATAACTCCATGCAACCCTACCCCGGGTCTGTACTGGACTGCAGGTATAAAGGAGGGCCACTCTAGGGGAAGGCCACTGGAGATAGGCCCTGCGTGTGTGGCACAGGAGGGGAAAGAGGTAGCAGGAGTGCAGGTGCAGCCAGAGACACAATTTCCCTGCAATACAATAAAATTTTAAAATTACAGTGACATTGAACACAGCTGGGAAAGATAGAGCACTAAAAAGATTTTGTTGACACTAATAGTCCATTATTGTTTTTCCATCCACCAATCCTACTTCTTGGAAGGAACCAATTTCAATTTTTACTTGCATTTAGCTCTCTTTTGAAATAATGCATTTACACTGTTAATACTTCATATGTCACTTTTAGAGATTTACTCTTAGTTCTTGTTATGGTATAGAAGAATGTTAGCACTTCCAGTGTGCGCACACACACACAGGCACACACACACACACCCTTCTCTCTCTCTCTCCATTTTCTCCTCATTGGATCTCTTGTCCTCTTTCTGAAAAATCTGAATGTTTATTGCTGCCTATTTATATCCATCAAATACCATTAATGATTAGTTGTGTAAGTGTGAGTAAGTGGATGTTCATTTTCCTTTAGCCTAGGGTGCTTCAAACCCAGGATCAAGGTGCTGGGATATCAATTCAGTATGTTTTCACCAACAATTGAATAAAGAAACAGAACAGGACAGGAGCAGTCGGCTGAGCTGTTCTGGCATTGCCCAGAAAATATTAGAACACATAGAGTAGCGAGGTTCACACTGTTCTGTGTAGCTTTCAACTTATTTTATTTTTTTTTAAAGATTTATTTATGTACACAAGAACGGAGGTCCAGGCCAGAGGTGTGGGGGTTGGAAGGGGTGTGTGTGTGTGAGAGGATTCATCAGAGACAGAGTGGGGAGCAGAACAGGTGGATCTACTGAAATACACTGCTGAGGGGAGCAGCGGGTGAGACAGGAGAGGTCTGCTGCACCATGTGGGTAGCTCCCTGAATTCGTGCTGCAGTGCCTGCGGTTAGTTTCATAGGTTGCATCTTAGCCCCTTGAGCCACCAGGGAAGCCCCTTTCAATTTATTTTTTTTAAGATTTATTTATTTATGCATACAAGAGCTGGGGTACAGGCCAGAGGCACCAGGCGGGGTGGTGGGAGGTGAGAGGAGTCACCAGAGACAGAGTGGGGAACAGAACAGGCAGACTGACTGAAATACACTGCTGAGGGGAGCAGTAA